TCTTTGCGGGTCGGCTCCAGAGGATCAACATTTCGGGATCATAAAGAGCTATCGACGAATCGATCTAGAACAAACAGTTTGGGTGGGGTTTTGAGGCAGCTGAAGTTTTGAAATTGTGAGAGTGTATTCATTTAATACTTGTCTGCATGCATTTGTAATGTGCGAATACTTGGTTGTCTATGATTAATGCTGGCCGGCCATAGCAAAAGCTTTTCTTCAGGGCTCGGATTCTTAGATCTTTTGGATCCTGATCATGCTAGGAGACTGCAAAGATCTTTTTCGAGAAGCAGGTTGTCGAGAGGTGCCTTAGCTGAATCGATTTTATTCGATTTTCAATCAGCCGATCTTTGGCAAAATTCTAAGATTTCAAGTGGCCGGCGTCAGGGTATATCTATGATACCACTGAAAATAGGAGAATTTACCAGTAGTACCGCACAAGGCGGTGGCGGAAGTTTCAAAAATAGGAAACCTATAGGAGAGATTGGTTGTTGTGAATCACGGATGGCAGAGCGAATCCACTGATGGATCGAAAGGTGGTTGGAGCTGTGTTTTTTGGAGTGGCTGCAATGGTTGCAGTGGTCACCTGGTCGGTCACCTCACCCACAACGCTGGATGTAGTGTGGTGTAGTGCAGCTGTAGTTGTAGTTGTAGTGTAGTGGAGTTGTAGTTATGATGCAGTGTAATTATTGTAGTGCAGTTGCAGTTGCATTTGTGGTGGTCTCTTGAGTGTAATGTAATGTTATGTAATGCAATGTGGGGTAGGGTAGTGTAGTGTAGTGTAATGGAGTGTAGTGTGGCGTGGTGTGGCGTGGTGTGGCGTGGTGTGGCGTGGTGTGGCGTAGTGTAGTGTAGTGTGGTGTAGTGGAATGCAATTAGTGTAGTGTAGTGTAGTGTAGTGTAATGCAATTAGTGTAGTGTAGTTGTAGTTGTAGTTGCAGTTGCAGTTGTAGTTGTAGTTGTGGCTGTAGTTGTGGTGTAGTGTTTTGTAATGTATTGCAGTTGTAGTTGTAGCTGTAGCTGTAGCTGTAGTTGTAGTTGTAGTTGTAGCGTAGTTGTAGTTGTAGTTGTAGTTCTTGTAGTGTAGTGTAGTGTAGCGTAGTGTAGTGTAGTGTAATTGAGTGAGTGTAGTGTAGTTGTAGTATAGTGGAGTGTATGTAGTGAGGTGTAGTGTAGTGTAGTGCAGTGGAGTGGGGTGTAGTGTAGTGTAGTGCAGCCTAGTGTAATGTAATTAGTGTAGTCTAGTGTAGTGTAGTCTTATGTGGTTGTAGTTGTAGTTAGTGTGATGTAGTGTCATTAGGGTAGTGTAATGCAATGTAGTGTAGTTGCAGTTACAGTTGCAGTTGCGGCTGTAGTTGTAATTGTAGGTCTAGTGCAGTGTCATTCAGTGTAGTGTAGTGGAGTGTAGTGGAATGTAGTGTAGTTTAGTGTAATGCAGTGTAAATGTAGTATTGTTGTAGTTGTAGTTGTAGTTATAGTTAGTGTAGTTTAGTGTGGTGTAGTGGAATGTAGTGTAGTGTAGTGTAATGTAGTGTGGTGTAGTGTAATTGAGTGTAGTGTAGTGGAGTGGCTTAAAGCGTACATAATGTCATGGCTTTTTCGACATGAAATTGACTTTCCAATATGTTATCTAGAATGATATAACTTGTTTCATACTCCTGGAATCCGGGATAAAATCATAAACCTATACTTGGCCAACAAAAGTTTGCCTCAAGATGCCCGCAACAGTGTTGTTTGCTTCGCTGTGACTGGTTGACGTCACTTGTAATCTGCACCAACTACAAGCGCATCGACACAATCCAATCTGGTACAATTCTTGCGATCACTGAGTTGTACCGGTATTTATCTGGATACATTGAAACATGAGAGCCGATGAGTAAAACATACACGCATAATCAATGATCCAACAATGTTTAAACATGATTAAACACATGCAAACATGGGGAATTACAAAATGAAATCATTCAAATATGGAGTTCAAAAACACAACTTTTTGACACATGATTATATAAACCAATGATAAATATTGATAAAAAAACAAAGACAAGTAAACCAGTGAACAACGGGAAAAAATCAAACGCTCGAAACACATGTGCTTTCATGTGTTTTGATGTGTTTTCATGTGTTTTCCAGATTTTGTGCGTTTGGGCCTTTCCCTGTGGGTGGCAAGAGCTTGGGGCTGAGCGGAAACTAGAATGTGGTACCTGGGGACTGGGCGCTGTGGGGATTGGATTGGTAGCAAATTTCAGGCTAGAAATTGTTGGCTCTGGTCTTCAGACTCCAGCCTCAGACTCCAGACTCCGCCGCAGACTCTAATGTAGACTCTTCAAGCAAGATTGAGTTCACCCTTGCAAACTATTATTACTTATCTTGACAGCCTAGCAGAATTAAATCCACGCAGTTAGAAGAATATGCGCCCCCACTTAGAATATTGACACCTACAATATTCCAAAACTGGATCAATCCCTTCGACGCGAATGGACATCTTGCTCTTTTCCCCATGCTGCTGTACGTTCCAGTTCATTTTGTCTTCAAATGCCGCCAACGCAACTATGCCCCTTTGAGTACGTAGCGTTTACTTGTGTTTACCAAATCACATTGCCATGAAGGCAAATGCCACACTTCAAGAAGCAATGTTTTATTGATATCTTCAGTGTCAAATATGTTAAGTGCAAGAAAAATAATGCAGATAGAATATTTTTTTTGGCCCGAAACAGGGTTTTGGAGCTCAAGGAAAAAAAACAACGTATTCTATGCAAGACCGTTCTTCTAGTTTGAAGTACTTTAGCGATCGCACCAGAAATTATGCAAAAACACGAATGGAGGCCATCTGAAAAACAAGGAAATTATGAACAGGTTAAACATGGCTGGACACAAGGGAATGACCAAAGCATCGAAAAAGTAATGAAACGCGGGATGCACAACTCATGAGTATAAAGGTATATAGAGTGACAACCCAGGCGATACACAAGTGCAAACATTAATACGATGCAATTTCGAGATCTTGGCTGCCAGAAATTCTCTTATCATTGGGACTTCAATTTGGTCAAGGGATTCAGGTTTGCCAAATCGGGTGCTGGGGTCAACAGCGCCCATGTTGCAAAACAACTGGTGGATTTTCTATAGGCGTTGCTTCCGTAGCCGGCCCAAATTACTATGACTATGACAGACTGCTCTTACAGATGGTCCTAGAGTGCTACTGTCTTAGGTTAGTACACTTACTCAGATCAAGTCCTTCCAGGTAGGTGGCCATGGCAGCTGGTAATGTAATGAGAAACCTTCCTCCATGATCTTTCTCCATCTTGTGATCAGGGCTCATACCAGCACTACCGGAAGAGTCACATGCTTTGAAGTCCTTGCCCTGCAGCGAAGTGCCTGCACTCCCGAGCACTTCCTATAGTTTCGTGTATGTTTTGTGTCTGTGTGGTGTCAAGGTGTGTGAACCGCCAAGGAAGAAGATGGACGAGAACTTGCAGCAGACCTTGAACAGTGCATTGGATGACTTCATGGAGAATCCAGCTGATTCTACAGAGTCCAAGGCCACTTTGTGAGCACAGGGCAGGGCCTGACTCGGCCTGAGGGTGTTGGAAGTTTTTGCCCGAAGTTTTGGTGGACGAATTGGGGTCCTGAGTTCACAAAAAGTTCCCGCCTTTCATTTGTCGCCCAGTTGTTTCCTTCTTTCGCCTTTCCAGATTGGGTGGTTCATGCTTTGAGGCTGAGGAATCGAAGCATGATACATTTGATACATCCTATTCGTTTCATCACCTTGGGAGGTGTCATAACACAGAGGAATGGATGCAGCAGTTCGGTTTTGTGTGCCGTTGAAATCAGAAGGTTCTTGGGGCAAAACGTCAAAATCAGGTTTCAATGGCATGAGAGCTATGGCTATGTCTGACATATCAAACTGAACAATCCCTTGGGGGATTGTGCCCAAGATGACCATAGATGACCCACCCCACATTCTAAAGGGTGGAAGGACCATGAACGACCAACCTGGAGGATCCCTGGGGGCAACTCTGCCCAAGTCATCTCAATTCATCTCAATTCTCTGTTCAGGATTTGTCTAGAGTGTAGAGATGTCTAGAGTGGTGTCAAGTGAAAAGCACAATGAAAAGTCAGTTGTGTAATCAAGGACTCATGAACCAGTTGGGCAAGTTTTCATGAGACCCGGTTGTGGGTTCCTTGGTATATGAACCTGATCCGGCTGGCAGCACAGTAGTGCACTAAATTTGGAATGGTTTGAACAAGGTTCTAGATTTTGTCCCTGCTGAAGCGTGTGAAGTGTTACAGTGTATATATATATATGATTATATATATATATATATATTATATATATAGAGTGAATACTTGTAGCTTTTGACGAAGACCCATGCCAAGACAAAATCATCACATATCGACATGAAATTCTCAAACCTTCTACGACAGGGAGCATCACAGACCATCGAAGCATATCGAAACACAGAACATCGCAGAACATTGCAGAACGTTTTCTGGAAAGGCTCCGCCCTCCTCAGTCCTGGGTGACGACGACGATGATGCGGGGTTGGGGTTCTGAGCCAAAGATTTCACAACTGTGGTAAGGCCCTCTTGAATGATGAACAACATGAGATTTCTGAAGTGTTTCTTGATTCTGTTGCCTTTTGTCATTCTTTGTGTCGCATACAGTTGCTGTATTTCGCAGATTTTCCAAGAGAGTCAACGGCCTGGATCCTCGAACCCACTCCATTTCAGCCAAAAGCTCTGTGCGGCTCAGCGCATCGACAATAGCCTGGAGTCAAACTCCATGTCATGGTACATCAGTGGTACATCAATGGCACATGAATCCTACATCAATGTACATCATGAAGTCTTACTTCTAGAAACAGCAAGGCTTCCGTGAACTTGCATACGAAGTCATGTGAGCGAACATGAAAGACCAAGCATTCACATTCGCTAGCTTGCTGTGGCTTGTCATGCACAGATCTTGACCTGGTAGAGTTTTGGCTCGACAGACAACCGGTGTCATGGTCAGCGTGGACGTGCTGAAGCGCGACCAATGGGAAGAAGAAAATGCTGTTTTCGCGATCAATCCGATGGGTCTGCCGCTGAAAGAGCTCCGACGCCTGAAGGCAGGATTCAATGAAGTTCAATGAAGTTCAATGAAGCGATACTAATGCAATACTTAGCAATGCGAACTCAATGCACGCAGTGCAGGCCAAGTTGTATGGCTGTAGCCCGCTGTAGGATCAGTTTCAAGATGAAGAGGGTCAGCCCGTGAAACTGGACGAACAGCCCGACACTGAGAGCCACCTTGCTGTAAGAGTCACGCGAGTCACGCGAGTCACGCGAGTCACGCGAGTCAAGCGAGTCAAGCGAGTCACGCACTAATTCAAACTATTGAATGTCTTGAATGTCTTGAATTCTCTACGTATTCAATAGCATTCTCTAACTATTTGATCCAAAGTCTTCCGCCTCCCAAGGAAGTTTGTGGATGCCTTGCTTTCTCGGCTGAGCTCCGCAGGAACTTCCCAGAATGAGCTTTTGCCCAAGACCAGACCAAGTCCACACGGAAGCATTACCAAACGTCTCAACGCATCCCAGTGCCAAACGCATCGCCATATCTCAGAATTTGGATTGTGGAATGCCCTGAGGCGACAGCGTTGGGACTCCGAGCTGCGAACTTTGTTCAAAAAGATCGACGCTGGATGTTCAGAGACCGTGACTTGGGAGGAGTCTTGGTGACACTCTTAGTGTATGTTGGTATGTCTCATCTAAAGTGATGTGAAATAATTATCTGGTATTTCATCCAGCTACAAATTTTATTGCTGTTTACGATTACGGCTGGTTGTAGCAGACGTGTGGATTTATAAGGGGCTACGCCCCCTGCCGCCGACCCCTGGGAGAGAGGGGGAGTTGACACATACGTCACTTCCCGAACCTACAAGAAAACTATATGGGTACGAGTCAAAATACAAGGTATGGATCAAGGCGCCAAAGCTACACACGATCCATACCCCCCGATCCATACTTTGATCCATACCCTTGATCCATACCCCAGATCCATACCCCTTTCTCGTTGAAGAAAGACTGATGCTGGCCTTAACGATGCTTTTTATCCTAATATATACTGCTTCTGGTCGTCGTACTGCTACTCCCATCGCTACTACCGTTGCTTCTACTGCTGCCTCCACTGCCTCCGCTGCTGCTGCCGCCGCCACTACTAGTGATTATCCTCCCAGGAGCTGCTGCTACTGCTCCTGCTGGTCGTGCTCTCGCTGCTGGTGCTGGCTCACGTTCTCCGTGTGCTTCGGTAGTTGGACAAATGTAACTAGTTGACTAGCTACTCGCAATATTGCAAGTGCACCTTGGAGGCTTGTAAGACGGGTTCTACTTCCACTAGGTGCTTATTGTACTTCTAGTGGTGCTATGACTACAACTCCTTCTGTTTCTACTTTGCCTGGCACGTGTAGAACTAAAAAAGCATGGTGTCCTGATCCATACCCCGATCCAGACCCGTTCCATGCCTGGTCCATATCCGAACCCAGTCACGCCACAACAAGTGCCAATATGAAAGTCCGAATCTGTTACTACTTCTGCTGCTGCTTCTTGCGCTACTTGTGCTTCTACTTCTACTTCTGCTTGTACTTCTACTTCTACTTTTGCTGCTACTACTACTACTACTTCTACTACTACTGCTGCTGCTGCTACTATTACTACTACTCCATTAGATTATTTTACTGTTATTACTTTGACTCTTACTAGTACTACTGTTACTGCTACTGCTATTTCTACTGCTACTGCAGCTCCTCCTTGTATTGCCGCTACTGCTGCTGGTGTTGTTTTTTTTTTACTGCTCCCTCTACTAGCAGTGGCAACAGTTTTAGCAGCAACAGTAGCAGGAGGAGAAGTAATAGCAGGTAGGAGAGAGTAGGAGTATCAGCACAGTTTGTATGCTATGATGAGCCCTTACGAAAGGGTACGGAGCAGGTACCTTACGTAACCACTCCCGATCCATAGTTCGGATCACCGCGGAGCAATCCATACCCGATTATTGACTCGCACCCATATAGCTGTCTAGCTGTCTTCCAGCCGCCCAGCCCAGAAACGGCTCCTCCGCCACACCGAAACAGCAGGGCTCTGAGGCCTCTTCTGCTATAGCTTCCACGTGTCCTTCGTTCTTACTTCTTGCCTCTTGTTGAGTCCTCGTCGACACTTGTTGCTTGTCGACACTTGTTGCTTGTAATCTCTTCTCTGACGCGCTCCCGCTGCCGTCGGCAGGGGTCGGCGGGTTACATATTATTGTTATTGTATTTATAATTACATATATATATATATTATATATATATATGATATATGTATATGATATATGTATATATGATATATGTATATTGCAACTTTGGACTATCTCTGCCGGACGCACATGCCGCCGGGAAAGCTGGAACGTGACGGCAACGCTGGACTAATGCTAGTTTCCAACTTGCTTGCGTCCTTGTGCCGCTCGCTTTCGTCTTGTCCAGCCAGCCGTCCAGACAGTGCCAAGCGTCACTGTCTGAACCCGCAAGCTTGACCTGCCTTTCTGCACTGCATGCCAACTGCCAACTTGCTCATGGTTTCCTGGAGCTGGCTATCGTTCTGCCCAGCTTCCAAGACGTCAATTTCTGAACCAACTAGAAACTATAGATCCAAACCTTGACTGTATATACCTGCGTTTCTGCACTGCCAACTGCCACCCTGCTCGTGTCCTCCTGGAGCCGGCTTTTGTTCTGCACAGCTTCGGTCCAAGCTGGAGTCCAAGGACCGTGTCGCAGGGCTAAAACACCATGGCAGTGAAGGACGGATTGGGCCCGCGGCCCGTATCCTAGCCTGCCAAACGTCACTTTCTGAACCGACTAGAAACTAGCTCCAAACCTTGACTTTTCCTGCGTTTCTGCACTGCCAACTG